TACTTATCTGCAAAAGGAAATAAAGGAGCGAGTCTCACAAACTCAGTGATCATCAACCCCGTGTGTAGGGTGTAGATGGGAAACAAGATAAAAGTAAAAGATTTGAATATTAAAAATATAAAGATATATGTAAACAATTTAACTCAAAAAGGGAGGTTTGTGCCTTATATAAAATAAGTAAGTTAATGCAAAATAGTCATTTAAATCAAATACCAAATCAATTCATGCAAAGATTTCTGCCGTCGAAATCAATTAACAATTGGCTTAAAGCAATTTAATATCGTCACGCATGCTCCCATAAAATCTAACATTAACAAAACTTATGTACAAATTCATAAGTCACCTTGTATGCAAAGAATTAAATCCAATGTCATTGTATAAGTAAGGGAGTTGCGGAAAAATCGTTATTTCTCATCATGCGAAAAACTGCGTATGTGAAAACCTAAAGAGATATCACTCTCAAGTAGAAATAGAAATAAAGAACACATGGACTTGCTTCCACGTAGTAACATATGGGAGCTTCGCTCCACCAGATCCCCACAGCCATGGCAGTCTCAACAATGTTGGCCGACATTGAAGAAATCAAGCGGTCGCAATCGCATATATCACTGGTGGCCTAGCCACACATATATGTATATATCGCAAGCCTTGGCCCTAGCCACGCCTATCCACCCTTAGGTGACCCAAAGGTTCTCTAGCAAAAGCTCACTTGTGCACAAGGGTCACACTATCCTGATGTGGTATTCGGCCTACTCTCGAATCTCTCGATTTAGTAAAACCATTTAAAATCAAATTAGGTTCTCAAAGTTTATTTCAAAATTATTTTCAAAATATTCACATAGTAACATGATAAAATCCCTTATAAGACTTCAAAAAAAAAAAACTAAGCCCTTTTGCATGAGGTTAAAAGATCAATCCGCACAGTGGATATGTGTTTTAATCATGAATGCACATCACACAAACTATAAGGCACATTCTTGATATAAATCATATTACAAAAACTTGTTTCTCGATTTTAAAACCCTTTACATATATATATATAGCTTATTCATATATTCAAAGCCATTTTCAAAGT